AGAGGCTGCCAGTTTGATTTCTGGTCAGGGCACATGCCCAGGCTGTGGGCCAAATCCCCAGTTGGGGGATGTGCTGGAGGCGACCAATCGATGTTCTCTCTCATCGATGTTTCTATTTCTCTCTCCCTCTCTGTTCCTCTATCTCTAAAAAAATTAATAAAGAAAAAAAGATAAATAAATAAAAATAGAAGAACAGGCTTTAACATGACAGATCTGGGTTTGAATCTTGGTTCTGTCACTTACTGCCTGTGTGGCCTTGAGCAAGTGGCTTTAACTTTCTGGGTCACAGTTTATTTGTAAAATGGACATGATGCCTACTTTGTTGGGTTGTTGTGGAGATTTTTTAAATTATTTAGCAGAAGAGTGGTACATACTGTCCAAAAAATGTTAACCCATAATGACATTTTCCTGTTGAAGGGGACCAAAGTTTTGCCACCCAAAATGAGACATTTGGGATATTGATTTTAAGCTGATTATTATAAAACAAAAGACTCAGAAAGAAACTTTGACCCTCCCTCTTTCCTGACTAAGATATTCAGATGGAAAGTCTGCTCCTAGAAGAAAATCTTAGTATATGCACCCTAGAATTAGGTAGGAATGATTCAAGCAGGGACCTGTTAACTAGATTCCTGTGTCCCATTGTTTCTGGTTGCCTAGCAGGTATTTGTTTGCCACATGTGTCCATGTGTTACACTCTTTTTTTAAAATTCTCACCTGAGGACATACTTAGAGAGGGGAAGAGAGAGACGGAGACACAGAGAGAGAGAGACATCGATGAGTTGCCTTCCATACATGTCCTGACCTCGGATCTGACCACAGTCTGGGCACATGCCCTGACCAGGAATCTGACTGGCAACATTTCAGTTCACAGGATGACACTCAACCAACTGAGCCATTCTGTCCGGGCTGTTCTCCTCTTTTCATCTACCTGTAAATTGCCTATTTTCCCAGAGGAAATCCCAGACCCCTGCTCCCTTTTCTACTTTGTGCATAATGACATATAAGCCTCAACTGCCCAATGTGTTTCTGGTCTCATTCTTATGGCAGTTCCCCCACCCCAATGAGTATTTATATAATAAACTTTGGATATTTTCTCCTGTTAACCTGTCTCTTTCAACTTAGCTTAGCTAGAAGAACTTAGAAGGTGGGAGGAAAGTTATTTTTTTAACTCCCAATCTACCCTATAATAGGTTTTCCTTTCTTGTTTTTTCTTTTTAAAAAAATATGTATTGATTTTTAGAGAGAGAGAGAGAGAGAGAAACATCAGTCTGTTGATTTGTTGTTTCATTTATTTATGCATTCATTGGTTGCTCCTTGTATGTGCCCTGACCGAGGATTAAACCTGCAATCTTGGTGTATTGAGACAATGCTCTAATTAACTGAGCTACCCAGCCAGGGCCTGTTTTCCTTTTTATTTCCTCTCCATTAATGACTGCCCCCCACCTCCCACCACACTTCCTCACCAACCCCTTGTATTTCTCTTTCCTCTGTTCATTTGGCCCCACGGAATACTCCACCCCCTCTGCTTTGATCCCTGACCTTGGCCTCTCTCCCCAGGGCTTGTCAGTGCCAGGCTGGCTCCAGTATTGGCAGGCTAGCCCCCTACACAGTCCATCACCTCTGATTCTCTCTGCCTACTCTGTCTGCTCTCATCACATCAGCTGAGTAGTTCACCCATCATACCCATCCAGTCCCTTTTTCCTCTGTGGCTGGTACCCCACTCAGCTCCTCTGGTTCAGAAGGGCTCAGTCTTGTTTGATATGACTGCACAGAATGTACTTCCAGGAGAGCTAGGAAGCGTTCATCAGAGGCCATCTGATGTTTCTGCCTGATTATACCATCCAGAGTCTCCTTTTAAGAGAACTGTTCCTCTCCTACATCAATATTCCTGTCTCTGCCTCTGTTCCCCTAATGTCCAAACGCTGGAGTCCTTTCAATTCCTGTTAGTCCCTTTCCCAGCCTCTCTCCCAGTCTCTGGTTCTCCAGGGTAGTCAACTTTCTCAAAGAAGAGAAGTATGACTTGAGGAGTAAGGGTAAAAAAAGGAAGGCCAAGAAAGTGAAAATTACAGACAACCCTTCACTGAGGGCCATAAAGGAACAAGGACATAAGGCAACAGCACAGGTGCCTAACTTGGGGCTTATATACCCATTTGTTAGTCTTCCCCTGAAAGGCAAGAGACACACAACAGGAGTGGATTGGGGCCTGGGACAAGCTATTGATCTAGATCAAGGGCACTGTGGGGTTGGTATATGTGTGTGTGAGTGTGTGTGGGGTGTCCAGACTAATGGGAACAAGGACACATGGAACAGGCCTGGGGGCTAAAGCAGAGCATCCTCCTCCCATCCCCAGACTCCACCCAAGACCCCTACTCCCCCCCCCCCTCGTATAGTTATAACTTGGGCTCCTTTCTGCACAGTAGAGAGAAGCATCTGCCTGCCACATGACATTCAACAGATCTGATTCTCTTCAGAAGAAAAATCTCCCAGAAAGTAAGCAGGCTGGATTCCAGTGAGGGAAGACCTTTCAAGAAGCCAGCCTAGGAATTGTAAAAAGGCTCAGAAGAGGAGGAGAGTCCTGAGGACTACAGGTTGCTTCCTGGCAGAGGGAGTTTCATCCCTTACCCTTGATCTCCTCAAGTCTTAGTTTCAATTAGCCAGGCAGGGAGACCATAAATCTTCTTTGGAGCCCAGGCTGAAGGCTAACAGTAAGATAGGTCACTTTTCTCTTCTGGACATCCCACGGTGACTATAAGAAGAATGCCTGGAGGACGTGGAGAGAAGGTGAGATGGGACAAGACAGTGGGAAGAAGCAGCCAAGCATTCTAGAAGTGTCTCACTCTCACAGCTACTCCCGTGTAGTACTTAGGAGCAGAAAGGTTCCAGGATGGTGTCTGCTCGAAGGCCCTCAGCTGTCTTGTGGAGGTGATATAGAAAGGTTAGGAGTTCTGTTGGAAGGGTAAAGCAGAATGTGCAAACCCCCACCCCCACAGCCTCAGGGCAGCTGGAAGGGAGTTGAGAGCAGGTGGCAAGGCTGACAAGGAGCTGCTGACATTACTGATCCTCTGGGCACTAGGGCCGTGACATCAGGGGGAAAAGCTCTGGGTGGGAGCTTCTGGGAAGGATGGGTGCCCGGATGTGGAGCCCTGCCAGATATCCTTTCTGGTTTAGGCCAACGTGATTCAGCAAAGACCAGGCGCTGGTTAAGACAGGAGCTGAGACAGGGATGTCACGAAGGGCTGATGAGTAAGAACTGGCTGTCTTGGGAGGCAAAGAGGCAGTAGTCAGTGCCCTTCCCCAAGGAGATGGCCCTCCATCTAGCCATGCTTGGTGACTGGTGTATCTGCTCTGTCCTTTCTTTGCAGTGGGGAAGAGGCAGATGACCACCAAAGCTCTTCTGCCTGCTTCTGTGTGATATGTTTGATATTGGGTTGCTTAATTAGGAACCAACTAAATGTCAAACATATTCTTACAGCAGTGGGCAATTTGGCATCACACCCTTTCCTACATCTGGGGCTCTGGGGCTCCTATCTTTGTTACTGAACCTCTTCCCTCCAGGACCCCTTTGGAAAAACTGCCTACACAGATTTCAGTTTTAAGTTGACGGGCTAGTATGAGAGCAGGAGAGAGCTGGCATTTATTTGAGAATCTAATCTTCCTATATCTTTCCCTTGTACCAAAAGCCATATATCTCTGATCTTCTCCTGTTCCTGTATTTTTTTCCTCCTCTTTATTCAATGTCCACCCCCCCACACTCTATTATCTACTGCTTCCTGACCCTGGTACTGTCTTGTTCCCTAGTCCCACAGTAGGAGTCTCTGGTTTTTCTTCTTTCCTTCAAGAGCCAGCTGATGGTCTATCTGCCTGTCTACCTCTAGTGACTGGAAGCTCTCAAGAGTGGACTCAGTTTTTGCCCTCTGTCTCAGTTTCCCCATTGCTGGGGCTTAGTATTAACATGACCCATCTATCCTTGATATAATGACTACTTAGAAAATTTATATTCTTCCCTGATTGCTCTGGTCACCTTGACCAGTGTCCCCCTCTCCCTTGGCATATTCTCAGATTGAATGGTGCAAGAGTACTGGGATCAATTGCCACCTGTTTATAACAAGGCTCAAAGTGGAAGAATGATCATGGCCTGGAACTAAGCTGGGGAGAATAAAGCTGGTAATGATGATTACCAGGGTGTGTGCAGGGTCGGGGTGAAGGATATTAAGGGAGCAGAGGATGAGAAGAGGAGAGAGCAAAATAGACCTTGGTCTGTGTGGGTATCAAAGTTCTATTTAAAGATCACTATGGGGAAACAGAGGGCATGATTCTATCTGGATTACTCTGACCCTGCCCTGATTCTCTCTCCCACTTGAAGCTCAGGGACAGCCTTCCAGATCTCCACCCTACCCTCTTACTCCATCCCTGTGACTCTTAAGGGGAGGAATATGTCTCCCTGCCAATTAAAGTCTCTCAAAATAACGCAGTAATTTGATCTGGGGATCGGGGGAATTGTCAGGATCATGAATGACCCCTCCTTTTCACTATTGCTCAAACTTCCTGAATACTAGGAATCAAAAGGTAAAACTCAACCAGTGGAGTTTGATCAGCATCCAACACAGTCCAGGTGAGAGTAAGGGGAAACTGAAGAGCAACTGGGACTCTCAAGTTCTACCACTCTAGAATTGCCAAAGTACCCTTCTCTATTTCACTGTTCCCCTCTCCCCTCTCCCTGCTCTTTAAAAAAACCCATACAGCTGCCCAGAGTGAGTGGAAAGTTTCAGGGTCAGGAAGAGCGTCTCCCCTCCCCAACTTTCCATTGTCTAAAATCAGCCTCAGCTGTTCCTAAATTTTTTCTTTGCCTGTGATGTCAGTCTACCAAAGTGTCTCACCCTGTGTTCTTCCAGGAGAACAATGATGGGCTGGAGGGAGCTGGAAGGACCATATTAGGAACAAGAGGTGGAGCCATAAACAGAGATAAGGGCTCAAGTCTGGGGGACTCTAGTCACTCCGCCAGCAGTACCTCCTTTCTTTCCCTAGTCTCCAGTTCTCCAGTGTTCACAGGTGAGCTCACCAACAGCCACTGCTCATGATGGAGGCCATCAAGAAAAAGATGCAGATGCTAAAGCTGGACAAGGAGAATGCTCTGGACAGGGCAGAACAAGCTGAAGCTGAGCAGAAGCAGGCAGAAGAAAGAAGTAAACAGGTAGGCACTGGCACTGGTGTCTCTCACCTACTAGTGAGCAAGACTGTGCAATGGAAGAGAGTTTTCATGAAAAAGGCAGTGACTACTGGTACCAACTCCTTCTTTGAGTAGGAGAAACTCGTCTGCTTCCCCAGCCTGACTGGATAGGCAAAGGACAAATAGGGTAACTGACCCAGACTGTCTGCATAACCTTGGGAAAGTCAGTGGTCCTTTCTGAGCTCATTGTGTCTCCTTGATTTAAGTAGGAGTAGGTCCCATTTTGGAAGAGCCCCTGATTTCTAGAGGAAAAGGTGGGAGCTTCGCATACAGCATCTCTTTTCCCTTAGATGGAGTTATAGGCACCTACACCCTAATATATTTACTATCCCAGAGTCTTAAATGAAAACTCAGCATGGCTTGATCATCTTAGGATCCAAGATCATAGGGTCACAGGCCAAGGCCAGTATAACTCCTGGGGCAGTTGGCTGGAAGCGATGGGAGAGAAAGTGTGTCATTCTGGTGATGATAAAATAGAGCTCAGCTCAGGGATCTGTCAGGGCTTAAGATCCCAGGATCTGAGCCTGCACTGCTGTGTATGTATGTCTTGTGTGTGACTCTTGGGGCTCCTACAGCTGGAAGATGAGCTGGCAGCAATGCAGAAGAAGCTGAAAGGGACAGAAGATGAGCTGGACAAGTATTCTGAAGCTTTGAAGGATGCCCAGGAGAAGCTGGAGCTGGCAGAGAAGAAGGCAGCTGATGTGAGTATTAGAGAGATGGGGGTGGGTTTCATCTACACATATAAGATCTTCATGTTAATAGGACTAAATTCCAAACACACTTGGACATATACCTACTTGTGGATTCACAGAACATAGACATAGATTCCCCATACGTTATAGCATATAACCACATGCTGGCATATCCTTGTAATGGCATATTCTTCCTTCCTTCCTTTCTTTATTTTTTTATTTAAGTCCTCAACCAAGGAACCAAGGATATTTTTCCATTTTTCATTTTCAGAAAGAGTGGGAGGGAGAGAGAGATAGAGAAGGGGACGGAGAGAGAGAGAAACATCGTCGTGAAAGAGACACCAATTGGTTGCCTCCCGCACAACCCTGATGAGGGCCGGGGACCAAACCGAACCACAACCAAGGTATGTGCCCTTGACCGGAATTGAACCTTTGACTCTTTGGTCTATGGGCCAATGCTCTAAACGCTGAGCCAAATCAGCCAGGGCAATTTATCCTTTCTTAAAGACACATAGAAGTCTTTAAGGTCTCACCTCAATCCAGGAATTTAATTATCTTTCCCAGGGCTTGGACAAAGGGTGGGGACTCTAAGTCCAGACTGCTATCACTTATCCCACCTCCTCCCCTATGCCACATTCTTAGCTTTTGTGTCCAAGATTTGGCATGTAGATATGTATATTAATAGGGAGACTCTCATCTCTTAACTGTCCAGCAAAGGCAGCTCATATTTCATAATGGGACAAAAGAGGTCACGTTGACCCTAGCCTTATCTGGGTTTGTTTATCTTGGCCATTGTAGATATCTGCCCTTATGCTAGAGATGCCATAGGAAACATTGTTCATGGGGCAGCAGAGAGGACCTTAGAATGATAGAAGAAACTGAAAGGGACAGAAGAAATAAGATGGAAATCTTAGATGCTGGATAATCTCAGAGGGGAAAGGTATCACCATCAGACCTTACTCTGTGAAGTTGACTAAATTACTCAGCTTCTCTAGGGCTAAATTTTCCCTAGAACATTTTTATATTTGAAAATAAAATGAATTATCTTTTCCACTTTATTTTATCCCATAACCACCTACTTTCCTTCACCTTCAACCTTGAAGCTTACCATGAAGATAAATGAGAGATTACATAGAAAAGTACCATAGGAGTCTTTTTCCCCCCTTTATTGCTTTTAGAGAGAGAGGAAGGGAAAGAGAGAGAGAGATAGAAACATCAATGAGAGAGAACATCGATTGGCTGCCTCCTACATGTTCCCATTGGGGATTGGGCCCACAACCTGGGCATGTACCCTGACTGAGAATGGAACCTGCGACCTCTTGGTGCATGGGCTGATGCTCTACAATGGACCACACCAGGTCCGTAGGAATCTTTTCTTTTAAAAAAATTTTTTTTTATCCTCACTGGGGGACATTTTTTCCATTTTTTGTTCAGATAGAGTGGGAGGGAGAGAGAGGAAGAGAGAGAGAAAAACATCGATGTGAAAGGGACACATCGAGTGGCTGCCACCCACACAACCCAACCAGGGCCGGGGACAAACTGCAATCGTGGTATGCGCCCTTAGCAGGAACCGAACCCGGGTCTCTCTGGACCGCAGGCCGACGCTCTAACCGCTGAGCCAAACCGGCCAGGGCCCATAGGAATCTTAATAGCAACAAAAGAATGTCCTCGTATTGATGGAAATAGTAAATTCTCAGCACTGAATTAATAGGAAATGACAAGCATGTGTTTTTAAAAATTACATTTGTTTTTGGAAAATAGCTAGAAAGAGAGTAGGCCATTCACAAATGATTTTGAGCCCGGCCAGTGTGGTTCAGTGGATTGAGCATTGTTCCATGCACCAAGAGGTCATTGGTTGGATTCCTGGTCAGGGCACATGTGTGTGTTGTGGGTTCCACCCCCACTAGGTAGTGTGCAGGAGGCAGCTGATTGATGTTCTGTTATCAGTGTTTCTCTCTCTCTCTCCCTTTCCCTTTATCTCTCTCTAAAATATCAATAAAAATATATTTAAAAAACAAAAGAAACAAAACAAGTGTTTTGTTTTTTAATTATGTTTATTTTTTTATACTCACCCAAGGACATTTTTACATTCACCTTCAGATAGAGTGGGAGGGATGGAGAGAGGGAGAAGCATCGATGTGAAAGAGACACATCGAGTGGTTGCCACCCAAACGACCCTAACCGGGTCCGGGGATGAACTGCAACCGAGGCACGTGCCCTCAGCAGGAACCAAACTCGGGACTCTCCGGCCCACGAGCTGACGCTCTAACCACTGAGCAAAGCCGGCCAGGGCAAAACAAATGTTTTTCTCTGTACCGCAGGCCGACTCTCCAACTGCTGAGCCAAACCGGCCAGGGCAAAACAAATGTTTCTGAATCTTCATATTTAGCTCTTTGCTCTTAGGTTTCTGATCTCCTTTGTGGCTCTCCACCACTTTCAGTGGCCTGGGAAAGTGATGAGTGTTGTTAAATATACCATGCCAGAGGTCAGAGACACAAAGTGGATCATATACATTATGTATATATTCATAGTTTCCAAAAGTTTATGCCACTGCAAACTATTAACTCACCCTTCTTGTAAGATTTCGAAACATGCAGGTTCCCCGTAGGGCTCTGGGCAAGTGCGTGATGGCCTGCTGGAATTGCTTAACCTTCGTTCCAGGTATAAATGGATAGATGTCTCTGGTTCTAATAAGCAGACATGGGGATAGTTTTTGCAAAGTGTCACAATGTCACATTGATAGCAGTTTTGTGAGATGTTGGGTAACAAATTTCGGGGTTAAATCTTTAGGCTGAAACAGTATGTGGGCTTGAGCAGATGTTTCCAGGAGCAATGAAGAGAACAAACAAGTTGAACCTGAGATCTTGGGAGAGTGTGATCTAGAGGCTCTAGACAATATATAAATATCACTGGAAAGATACAGGAATTTCGTGGGGATGAATTCTGTCCAGTTTTATATACCGTTGTCCCTCCCAACTTCGCGCTTCGACTTTCACAGCTTCATTCTATTGTGGTTTTTTCAAATAGATTCATTAAAAAGTTGATTGAGACAGTGAAAATGATATAGCGTGTGCTCGGTTGTCTGAGTCAATTATACACCTCTGTATTACAATTAAAATTACTGTACGTATGGACTGTTGGCCTATGTATTCGAGCACCTCAGAAATCCTTCAATGCCTGGTGCAACCGCTAGAGTCTGGAACGGATTAACTTGATAAACGAGGGACGACTGTACACACACACATACATCACCCCCCACCCAGGCATACTCAGTATATTCATTTGAAAACACTTCTCATATTTATATAGGAATCTACCAAAAACATCCAAATATATAAACCATGGATTAATAAAAACAAACTCACTGGCTGATTTGGCTCAGCAGTTAGAGCTTTGGCCCACGAACTGAAGGGTCAAGGGTTCAATTCCTGGTCAAGGGCAAGCACCTAGGTTGCAGGGGTTTTTTTTGTTTGTTTGTTTTATCCTCACCCGAGGACATTTTTCCATTTTTTGTACAAAGTGGGAGGGAGAGAGAGGAAGAGAGAGAGAGAGAAACATCGATGTGAAAGGGACACATCGAGTGGCTGCCACCCACACGACCAACCAGGGCCGGGGACAAACTGCAACCAAGGTACATGCCCTTAGCGGGAACCGAACCCGGGTCTCTCCAGACCGCAGGCGGGCGCTCTAACCGCTGAGCCAAACCGGCCAGGGCTAGGTTGCAGGTTTGATCCCAGGCCACAGCTGGGGTCGTGCAGGAGACAGGCAACCAATCTGTGTCTCTCTCACAACAATGTTTCTCTCTCTCTCTTCTTCCTTCCCTTCTACTCGCTCTAAAAATTGATGGAAAAATATCCTCAGGTAAGGATTAACAAAAACAAACAAATTTATTCAACTTCTCTCACCTTTGTTAGCTTTCCCCTTACAGTCAGTAAGTACCCTCAGAGATATGAGATATGAAAAGCAAGAAACAGAAGAGGAAGGCTGAGGGCAGGAGGCAAAAACCTGTTAGATCTGGTGAAGATACAGGAAGAAAGATTTCTCTTCTCAAAGCTGGGGTCAGCAAACTACCACCTGTAGGGTAAATCCTGCCCCAGCATGTGTGTGTGTGTGTGTGTGTGTGTTTCTTCTTCTTCTTTTTTTTTTTAAGCAATAATTGTGCTTCAGATAAACCTCATTGGCCACGATACTTCCACTGTGCAAAGCTAGCCCAGTCTGGTTTTTGTAGAGTTTTATTGGAACATTGTCATGCCCATTCACTTACATAGCGTCTATTGGCTTTCTCCCTATGATCTACAAAGCCAGAAATATTTACTATCAGGCCCTTTACAGAAAAATTGTCTGACTCCTACCTCAAAGGGTCAAAGAAGGAAAGTGAGGTGTTGATAAAAATTGGGAAAAGCTTTGAATAAGGAGGAGACAACAAGGTTTAAAGTAGACAGCAAGGGTCAATCATTAGCAACATAATATATGCATTTTTGTGGGGAGGGTGCTCTGTCCAATATAAAGGAAGTTCACAGATCACTTTCTGCCCTTGAGATTAATAAACAAGTAAACAGAGCATATTACTTTGATGTAGATAAGGGGAAGAAAGAGAGGAGAGAGTCAATAGCTGCATGTTTACACAGGGAATTCTGATTATCCAAGAAAATTTGCTGGAAAGTGTAGGATTTGCTAGGACTGCTTGAACAAAGAAAGGTCAAGGGTATGACAAGGTTAGTCCAAACTTTTTTTTTCCTCCCTGAGTTCATCTAAGATCTTTTTTTATTACTATTATTAATTTTACTTTATTGATTTTAGAGAGAGAGGAAGGGAGAGGGAGAGAGATAGAGACATCAATGAGAGAGAATAGAGACTGGCCCACCTCCTGCATGCCTCCCACTGAGGATCCAGCCCACAACCTGTGCATGTGCCCTGATCTGGAATAAAACTGGCAACCTCTTGGTGCATGGGTCAACACTTAACCACTGAGCCACACCTGCTGGGCTTCTTTTTTATTTTTAACTGTG